CGTTTGTTAAAACCTTGAGCAACCTGCTCTGGTGGGAGGTGTCCCTGCCCAGGCACTAGATGATCTTCAAGGTCCATTCCAACCCCTTAAAATTTTATGACTCACTGAAAAGAGCTGGAGGTCCCTTGGGTTCCACATATTCCTCAGGGAAGGAGGATGCTGCTCCGCTCCAGCCAGCCCAGGCACATTTGGGGATATCCAGCAGTTTTGCTTGCAAAGGGATGGTTCCAAGTGTGGAGATGGTGAAGGGGATGTAACATCTCCTCCTCCTCATCCCCTCAGGTGGATGGTGGCTGGGCCAAGTGGGCTCCCTACGGGCAGTGCTCGCGGACGTGCGGCGGTGGCGTGCAGCTGGCCAAGAGAGACCCTGTGCCGGCCAACGGCGGCTCCTACTGCGAGGGCATCCGCGTCAAGTACCGCTCCTGCAACCTGGAGCCCTGCCCCGCCTCAGGTGAGGGGCTGGAGCTCAGCTTGGGCCATAACTACCCCTAAAATGGGATTTATAGGTCCAGGCTGGTCCCCCAACCCATGCACATCCTTATTTTTTCCAGTGCCAGGGAAGAGCTTCCGCGAGGAGCAGTGTGAGGCTTTCAACGGATACAGTCACAGCACCAACCGCCTCACTGCCTCGGTGTCCTGGGTCCCCAAATACTCTGGTGTCTCACCCAGGGACAAGTGCAAGCTCATCTGCCGGGCTAATGGCACAGGATACTTCTACGTGCTGGCACCCAAGGTTGGTGAGACACCCTTGGCTGGGGGATGACTCCAGTGTGCCTGGAAAGGAATGAATTTTCCTTGGCTGGTGGGTGGATGGTGCTAGATGAGGTGGTGGAGGAGGAGAATCCATCAGGCTGGTATGAATCAGCCTGGACGTGTCTGCTGCTATATCTCAGGGCTGGGGTTGGTCCATGGAGCGTCTTCCTCTGGGTTTGTAAAAGTGCCTCTGGGATATTCCCAGAGGTCTGAAATAGAGGATGATAATTGCTGTGCTGGGGAAGTGATGTGCAGGACAGGGTGGGCATCCAGACATGGGGCTGAGCAGGGTGGTGGTGGCTGTGTCCTCTGTGCAGCCTGTTCCCTGCAACAGATAGGGCAGGGAATTATGGAGATGGAGTAGAACAGGGATGTAATCCCATCTATCTCTTCTCAGAGACCCTATAAATCCCAACTGCAAAGCAAAGCATGAGCAAAAGGTGACACAGTGCCCACTAGCATCTCCTCAGGACTTGGCAGATGGGTTTGGGTTGGATGGTTGCATCTCAGGGAGGTTTGGGTATCGGTAGAGGGAAATGCAGCAGCTTGTTTGTTCACCCTGGTGCAGGTTGTGGACGGCACTCCTTGTTCCCCGGACTCCACCTCGGTCTGTGTCCAGGGAAAATGCATCAAGGCAGGCTGTGATGGCAAGTTGGGCTCCAAGAAGAAGTTTGACAAATGTAGTGTGTGTGGAGGAGACAACAAGAGCTGCAAGAAGGTCTCAGGCTTGTTCACCAAACCCATGTAAGTGTTCAGTGACCACGTGTGCTTACCCCTCTCCCAGCTCTGCCTTCTGGGGTGGGGGATGCAGGAAGGTCTTGGAGTTAGTGACAAGGGCTAAGTCCATCGTGGGCAAAATCTGCTGGTCCTCGTGTACATCACTGCATGGAGACCTGGGTTGGCTCTGAAGGAGAAGCAGGACACGTTTATGTCCTGTTGGCTTCTGTTGATGGAGTACTGTTGAGCCAGAGGAGCTGAAGTATCTTCCTGTATCTGGGTGACATCAGCCTAGACAAAACTTAGCACAGGGAGGAGATTGACAATGATCTTCACAGGAAGGAAGAGACAACTGTCAGGGTGGGAGGATCTCAGGGCTGTAGCTGCAGAGCTTCAGGCTAAAGCCACGTGGTAGCACAATGTCCCTGTGCCTGATGTCTTGGCCTGCTGCTCTTCTCCTCCAGGCACGGCTACAACTTCGTGGTGGTGATCCCTGCGGGTGCCTCCAACATCGACATCCGTCAGCGCGGCTACAAAGGGCTCATCAGTGATGACAACTACCTGGCGCTGAAGAACGCGCAGGGCAAGTATCTCCTGAACGGGCACTTCATCGTCTCGGCCGTGGAGAGGGACCTGATGGTGAAGGGCAGTGTCCTGCGCTACAGCGGCACCGGCACCGCCGTGGAGAGCCTCCAGGCCTTCAAACCCATCCAGGAACCCCTGACTTTGGAGGTGCTCTCTGTGGGCAAGATGACTCCTCCTCGGGTACGCTACTCCTTCTACCTTCCCAAGGAGAGCAAGGAGGACAAGTCCTCCTACAAGAAGGAGGGCAAACCCCCACCAGACCTCAACAACAGCGTGCTCAGCTTGTCCAACCGCTTGGACAGCGGGAGGCCGAGCTACAAACGTCCTTCCTACAAGTGGGCAGCAGGAGGCTGGGAGGCCTGTTCTGTCACCTGTGGGGATGGCTTGCAGAAGAGGTCGGTAGCTTGTCATGACTCCTACGGCCAAC